GAATTACGGGCATCATGGATCGCTTTGTGTATGAAGACATCTTGGAGAACACAATGAGACCCTGGGCACGGTCTACTGTGGGCCGGGCGTTCGTTTTCCAACAGGATAACGACCCGAAGCACACCTCGAAGCACATCAAGGAGTGGTTCCGACGCCGCCACGTGGATCTTCTGTACTGGCCAAGTCAATCTCCGGACTTGAATCCGATCGAACACCTCTGGGAGCATGTCGAGAGACAGCTTAGAGGGATCCGTGCCTCGAATGCCAACCAGAAGTTCGACCAACTCCAAGATGTCTGGCAGGCCATCCCGATGTCTGTCATCGACACTTTTCTCGACTCGATGCCAAGAAGATGTCAGGCGGTAATCGACGCCAAAGGCTTCCCAACGAAGTACTAAAGCTATTTTATTCATTTTCTATTGTTATTTTTCGTTTACCGGTCTATCCTACATCTCAGAAGTCAAAGTTCCATTTACCGGTTTTTTGCAATTTTCATGAATTTTTCGATTTTTTTTCAATTTTTTGAAATTTTGACTATTCTTGTTGTTGAATCAGTTTCTTTTACCGTTTTAAACTTTGTCTTAAAATATCAGATTGATTCGGGAAGTTTCAGAAAAGTTATGCTCGAAAAACTATTTGCGAATACCTTTTTGGCCAGTACTGTATGTGTTTGAAACCTAAACGAATGTCTATTTCACTTTGGTTTGAGTCCCCTCCTTGGCTTAAACTACTGCTCGTAGTCATTGAGCTAGCATCATTTGCCAATTGAAATCAAGAATACAAAAAAAAAGAATTTATCGAATGAAATAAGTGAATTTAACCATCTATCCCACTTTTCGTGTTGTAACAATGCTTGCTGAACTGATTTTCGGACTTATTGTTATCTGAAAATAAATCTCAAAAATATAGTGAAATTCTACAACAAACTTACAGGTTTCTGGGATCCTTTGTACCACAACAACTCTTTAACTGATTTTCTATAAGGTGTAGAAACTCCGAAACAAACGAAAAAATGGGTAGTTGCATTCAAAATCGCAAAAGCGAAAATAATAATCTCGAAGCAGTTAACTATTTTTCTGAAATACGAAGTTTTTAGACGTTACTAGTAATATTACAGCTAACATCAATTTTGGAGCATCCACTAGTAGAGCTTCAAATACAAATCCTATTCCCATTGGCCCTTCAGCACAAATACAAGTTATTGTCATAATGATAACCAGTTTGGAAGTGTTATCAGGATTATTAGCATTTTTAGAAACGACGGAAGTTTTTTTTCTGGAAACTTTTCCTTCTTCAATTCTCTTATCAGCAAGACAGCTAGTACTGGGAGCACACTAGCAAGAATGATCTGAACCGTTTTTTCTCATACATTCCTTGTTTTTTTGAACTTCAAACCTTCAGAATCCCATCGAAAGCTACATAAAACATATATATCTCTGGTCCACTGAAGAACAGTTTATTACTTATAAAGCCATATTTTGTCATACTGAAGTTAGTCGGGTACCCACAGGCTTCCGGAGGTATCCAGATTTCAGATATAAGATCCACGCGGATCACATAAAACATAGACATTAGGGTACTGACAATGAATGCAATAGTCAAAGATTTCCAGCCTGAAGATGGTTTGGAGAGAAAGTTAAATTTCGGATTTAGAGAATTTTTGATGATAAAATAGCGAACAGATGCCATCAGAACACCGAGCCACGCGGAAAGTCTTCGGAAGTCGTCCTTGATAAATAGGAGAAAATAATTGAGCCTTGTGATGAAATAACTTTTTGGCACGGTGCATTCGTCTTCAAACGATTCGGGTAATATTGCAACAAATTGATAAGCTATAAGGCTCAAATTCACAATGTCACTGATAGCGATACCCAACAAAATCACATTGATCACATTTGAGATCATCGATTTTCTAGAGAGTACGATAATATGAAAAGCGTTTATGAAAACACCGATACTTGCTAGGACGAAATTTAGTTTAGTGAAATACTGAGACGCAAGTAAAATATTGTTTCCGATAATTACAAGAGCCTCTTTTGTAGAATTGTCGAATTTATCGAAATCTGAGCGAGAAAAGTTTTGAGACATTCTCAGACAGAAAAAATGCGGATGTATGCTGTAAGGCTCTGTTTGTTCTATAACGAACAGGTGGATGAAATGAATTCAATTAGTGAGTAACCCAAATTATGACAAGTAAAAACAAGGAACCACTACTCTGCAGGAAGCCACATCAGACCTGCAGCTTCCATACCTTGTGATACCGGCAGGCTTGCTCGGAGTCGGAAAACGGATAATCCGATTTTCCGATTTTTTTTCGGGGAAATTTCCCGACGGAAATATTTTCCGGTTTTTTCTTCGGAAAAAAATTTCCCGACGGAAAATTTTCTGAAAAAAGTTTTATAGAAAATATGGGACGTTCAAGGCACATCGGCGATATTTTTGTTGATTTTCGCTGTTTTTCAACTTTTAATTGTCAGTAACAGCGAAATTAAATAAGTTTTTCGAAAAAAAAACATCGGGAAAAATCAGGAAAAAAGTCGAATATCCGATTTCCCGAAAAAAAATTTCCGGAAAAATTCAGATATCCGATTTTCCGAATATGGTTTTGCGAGCAAGCCTGAAGACCAGACCGCATTAAGCTAGCTTCATCTGCCAGTTGAAATCAGATCAGCAACATTCAACAATCTCACTTAGTCGCCTTATGTGGCTGTCACCAAGCAGCAGTTTCGTAGTAACATCGCATCACATCAGCGCCTATTAGCAACACTTCCACTACGACACTCCGTTTTGCCGCT